GTGCAGGTCATTTGGTCACACCAAGAACATGCCGCCTCTTGAGGATTCTTAACCTGGTTTAAGGCTCTTTACAGTGGAAAAACTCAAGGGGAACCCAAGGCGCTTCTGCATGGACAGACCCATCATCAGGTGAGGATACTGAGGTGTCCAGATGCATCTTGACATGCTGCAGAACTTCTTGACTTGGAGAAATAGCTTGATCTTCCTCTGAACTCATTTCACACCCAAAAACCCTGAGTTGTTGCCATTTAACGAATCTTCTTTGGCTATAGCCTTTGCTGCTAAAATTAAGCTATCCTTATGGGAAATACTTCTAAATTTCAGGGTATAATTTTAACCTTTTCTCCACTGAAATGAGAAGCACCTGAAGGTGCCAGGATAAAAACATATAAAGGAGCCATCCAGAGTAAGACTGGCAAAATTTTTGCTGCCTGCCTGCCTGCCTCGGAGAGGTTACTGGGATGCTTCAGCCCTGCGATTATGGGGTCAAAGATTGGGTGGATATTCACCGTCTGGAATTTTTATTGGTATTTATGGTATCCTGTTGAAAACGCAGTGATGCTCAGGTGGCCACAGTGGGAATTCTTTGCAATATAAAGGAGGTCAGGCAGGAAGACCAAAATGACACCTTCTGGCTCAATGTGTTCAGATTCTGTGTAATGACTGGCTGTAGACTCTTTCTCCCAGAGCCTGTTAGACTAATTGGGGCTACGGTCATACGCTGCACATGACACTATGCTATCTGTCTAGGCAGCTAAATCAATGACCTCTGAAGTAAGCATTTTGTCAACCTTGCAAATAACATTTGTTGTACTGCCTGATTTTAAAATGTTTTCGGTTTTGGTGTTTTGACTCACTTGCTCTAACAGGAAAAACTCCTTTTGTTCATGATGATGTGGCTCCTTGGGTCCTGTACGTAAAGTCTGGAAGTTAATGAACTCTCTCATATATGAAAGAATGCATTAACTACAGGTCAGCAAAGTCTGTTTATTGTGTTGTTTTACTACGGAGAGCTATTATTACCCTGTTGCTTTTAAGGTAGCCTGCTAAAAGGTAATTATTTAGTCTATCCAGAGCCATGCAGAATGCCAACACAACCTCTGCTTGTTTGCGTTAGTGATACAGCACAGAGTCACAGTTCAAGGTTAACCTCAGTTTACCCTTGGGATAGCTGACTGTTGGGGAATGAGGAGTTTTTGTTAATGTTCTTTTTCATTTTCACTTGTCAAGGATTGTCATGTGGTTTCCCTGGACTTGCCATTCATTCAAAATCAATTCAAAAAAAGATTTCTTTTCAATTCCCCTTTAGGATTGAAATTCCAGAGTGTTCTATAACAAGCGTAGAAACCATGAGCCTGAATCTATTTTTACTCCTTGACACAATCCCAAATATTTTCCCACGATAATATTTGTAATCAGTGTGGGAATTTATACCAGGGTTGAGCCCTGAATGGTGTAAAATGCCTTTTTTTCTCTTAGGATGGAAAGGCAAAGAACACACCAGGGGATGGCCTTGTGTGACAGTGAGCCGGGAGGGGAACTCCAGTACTAGCTCACTACGAACAAGAATTGGCCTGGCACAACCTCTGAAAGCTGTGCTCTTCTCAGGTATCTCTGTGGGCCTGCAGAAATGAAGATGTCACGAATTTTGGGAAGTGGAAGCCTCGATGCTTTTAGCAAGTTGCTCCTACATGACACGTCCATCGTTGAGCATCTGTGGCAGAATCAACAAGTGAATCCAAATCATCAAACTTCCTCCCAGTTAAAAGGTAATTGGTGGCATCCTGGCCTTTCAGGCACCAGACTGTTCCTCATAAAACATTCAAAAGCCTTGCAGTTACCCAAAGAGGAAAATGAGGAGGGAGGTATTTTTCCGCCCGATGGACATGGCATGTAATTACTGCAGGCATATCCTGATTCCTTGTCTGCATTGCTCATCGCTGCTATGTCTAAGAATTCCTTGATATTCAAAGAGTGCCCTAACTAAGTCAGGTTTTCATAATACGATTACATTATGAAATGGTATTTCACGCCTGTATGTTACAGTGTGCACACACATATTCGCTCTTCTCTGATACCGTGCACCAGGGGATGTCTACAAATTGAATTATTTC